TATCAACTGAGACTAACTAAGGTAATTGAGATAGAGATTAGGATGGGAAGCAGAATGCCAGTTTGGAAGCCCTGAGAAGTGGCCTTGTTTAAAAGTCAGCAGTGATAAGACACTCCTGCAGAGCTGATTCCACAGGGTCCTGGCCTCTAATGAGCCCTTTCAGCACAATTCACTTAGTTCTAATGGGACCCTTATTAACTAAAGACAGCAGCTGGGAGAGTAAGAGTAGACACCAACGTTCCAGGCACCACGAGTCTGTATCTTTCCAGGTGAATGAATCCAAATCTGAAAACTACATCCCTTAAAGTAGGAATTTTCAGACTTGTTCTGCCCATCTGTTCCCAGCACCCAGAAGGAGTGGGAGAAATGCCCTTTGATTCTATTCAAGGATATTTCAGTTTGGTCTTTCAAGCAGGATGTGCCTTGGGGAAGGCTGGCTTGATTTTGAGGACAGGACCTCCTCTCTTTACCTCCGCCTCTTCCCATTCTGTTGTTGCAGGGTGAATTTGCTCATCTTTCCCCCAAGTCATTATTATGAGTCTGTGAGAAGGGAGTCTCGTCTCCTTATTCCAAGTTCTTGGGAAGAGTGGAAGGGACCTCACTTTCACTCGCATGAGCTAGCTAGTGGTATCATTAATTCCATGAATACTCTAAAATGTGAAAAGAAGTTCTAGTCTTCTTTCAAAAGTTGATTCCTCATGAGAAAAAATTTTATCTCAATGTATTAACTGTGACTAAATGGTTAAGCTTCTAAATAGCATTTCACTAAGCAATTCTGTTCATTTTTTATGTTTGTAATCAAGACCTAAAAAAAAAGAAAAAAAAAAAAGCCTAGAGTCTGGCAAAAAAATAAGAACCAACTAAAGTGTAGTAACTTAATTGGTAAATGTGGTCAGCCTTGAAGGACTGAAATCAACGGGCCGTTGAAAATCTAGTTGATGCTCTGTGGTTACAAATTAAGAGGAAAGAACGTCTTTCTTCCTTAGTGACCAATAACCTTAAATATAATTGGAGATATGTAGGCGGAATTTCAATATGTGTGTTTTGGTGAGGAGTGAGGTTGGGTTGTGAAGCCTCGGCAATATTGTCACTGAGTTTGGGAACTTGGATAGTTTGCTTATCTGCAGAGGTGGTGAATTGATGGATGGGTTACGGAATTGGCTGGCATCGAAAACCAAGTTAGTTCTGGGAACATCTGTGGGGCCAAGGGTAGGGTATAAAGTAAAATCCATAAAAGGATGTGAGAGGGAACCCAGTGTGCTAGTGAGTGGTGTGTGCCACTTTGAATTACTGAAGCAGGACATAACAGTGGTAATCTCTGGATGGAAGATGATGAAGGATTTGTCCTTTCTTTTAAGTCCCCTCTTGCCACTCCCCAACTACCCATACTTTTCCATAGCAAGCATTATTAATTTTTTAATTAGAGAATGAAAGATCTAAAAATAATTTAGAATAGTATCGATAGATAGTATATCTTGGGAAAAAGATAAGACTTAAAAGGTCAAAGAATCTGAGTCCCCCTAACCCACATGTCTACTCCTGTCCCTTCATGTCTAAAATTTTCCCTAAAATATTTGTTTCCAATATTTTTGATCCTTGTGAGAATATTTCTAAGAGAAATAATACATCCCCCTCTCCCCAGATATTTATATCGGTGATGTTCAGCATGTGGCTCTTCCATTGCAATTTTTGGTTTTTCAAAGCCCTATAATTTTGGAATTGGGATATCTTATTCTACTAGACTCAAGGTAGCATTTGAGAAGTCTTTATGCCTTTTTTTTTTTTAAAGAATTTATTTTTTAGAGCAGTTTTACGTTCACAGTAGAATTGAGCAGAAGGTACAGAGATTTCCTATATACCCCCTCACCTACTTTTTCTTCCTGTCAAATTGTAGGCCCAAACTATGGTGGGGGAGCTCTTACACTCCCCCCATTCCCAGTCCAAGATTAAAACACTGAAGTTCCCAAACTTTTATATACTTGACAACACCTGGGGAGGCTTCTGGACTAGGGCCGTGGAGATCATGAACAAGGGGGGTTACTGATCTTGGGAAATTAGATGTGTGGCTACAGTGATGACAAGGGAGGAGCTAGGGGAAAGAGCCACTGGCCCAGCTGGGAATACCCATATACCTATGTCCTCTCCCAGTACATCTATCCTGCAGGCACCCTTCGATTGATACTCAGCAAGGGACTAAGAACACAGTAGTAGCTTTTCTCTTGAGACCAGAAGTGTCAAGATACTCTTTTCTCTTGGCCACAGTCTCCCCATGCATGAAAAGGGGGGATGTAGAAATGAGAGTAGAAGTGGAAAGAAAAGGAAACATGAATAAAGGAGTTGCTTTTTGGGAAAAAAAAAATTTTTTTTCTGCAAGGTCCCTTTTATACTCAAGAGATGTTTATTTATATGGATTTCAAATAAGATAAACATGTCTTTTTAAAAGGTGGATTTTTGAAAAGTGTTTTACTGTGAAAATTCTCAAATATGTATTAAAGTAGGGACACCAGGATCATGAGCCTCCATCTACCTATCGCTCAGCTTTTGCAATTATTGGTCCACTTCAATATCTCTCTCAACCCCACTCCTCAGACTGGATTATTTAGGAGCAAATTCCATCCATTTTATCATTCCAAACAGAACCACTTCAGTATGTACCTCTAAAAAAAAAAAAAAGAAAAAAAGAAAAAAAAGAAAACCTATAAAAAAAGAAAACTACTAAAAGGTAGAGGTCTGATGATTTACAAATCCTAATTTTCTCATAATTCTTCATGTGTCACTGGACTTTGAATTAGGAAACTTGAGTTCTGCACCTGGTTTTGCCACTTATCAGTTGTGTGACCAGTGACAAGACATGTAGCTTTCTGGATCTGCACTTTTCCCACCCGAGTAAGTGAAGGAGATGATTTCTAAGGTCACTTCCAGTTCCAGAAATCAAAAATTCTTGCAAGGGGCATCCCTTAAACCTCCATAGACATATAGACTTGGTACAGGATCTATTTGCTCTGTGTGTGTGTGTGTGTGTGTGTGTGTGTGTGTGTGTGTGTGTGTGTGTGTAGAGCCAACAAAGTCCCAGAGGGTGATGAGTGGTGGAATCTTTAATTTGGAGCTTTAAAAAGGAAACGAGTCTTGAAACCATCCCTTGAGCAGTTTTGTGCTGCCCTCAGTCTCTCTTCTGACAACCTCAATTCATCTTTAAATTTTTTAAAAAATTTTAATTAAACGAATATAATTCAACATTATATTAGTTTCAGTTGTACAGTTTAGTGGTTAGACATTTACATAATTTATGAAGTGTTTCACCTCCCACCCCTGATAAGTCTAATAACTTCTTGAGACCATACAGAATTATTACAATACTATTGACTATATTCCCTAAACTGAACTTTACATCCCTGTGGCTAGTCTGTAACTGCCAATTTGTACTTCTTAATCCCTTTACCTTTTTCACCAGTCCCCCAACTTCCCTCCCATCTAGCAATCACCAGTATGTTCTCTGTATCTATGAGTTTGTTTCTGTTTTTGTTTTGTTTATTTTGTTTTTTAGATTCCATATATAACTGAAATCACACGGTATTTATTTTACTCTGTCTGACTTATTTCACTTAGCATAATACCCTGTAGGTTCACCAATGTTGTTAAAAATGGTAAGATTTCATTCTTTTTTATGGATGAATAATATTCCATTGTATATAGGTACCACATCTTCTTTATCTATTTGTGTTTTGTTGGAGCATTTGATCCATTTACATTTAAAGTAATTATTGACAAGCATGAAGTTATTGCCATTTTATTGTTTTCCGATTTTTTTTTTTAGTGTTTTTCTGTTCCTTTATCATTCTCTTGCTTTCTTCTCTTGTATGTTGATGACTTTCTGTTGTGTCCTGTTTAGATTCCTTTCTCTTTATTTCTTGTAAGTCTCTTGTAGATTTTAGTTTGTGGTTACCATGCTTTGGCGGGAGGGTCTGTTAATTTCTTGGACAAAGACTAACTGGTGTCCTATGCTAGGGTGATTGTAAGGATATAAAGATACCCATTTTACAGGTCAATTAACGGAGCGTGAAGTAAAGTAGGTATGTTTAAGGTTGTCTGGAAAATGAAGAATTAAGTCTGGAATTTGTCTTTTAAAGTTATGGAAAACATGTTTATTGTAGAGGTTGAGGATTAAGGAAAGATAGGGGTCCTCTTTGGTTAATGGAGGATATTTGGGGCAAGAAGATGGTACCCAGCTCAGAGAAGCACTGCCAATGTGACCCACACCACGTGTGCCATGAGCTTTCGTGGGCACTTTCTCATCGATTTTCCACACTATTGTTAGAACTAGGACAATGGGACCATGAAGAGTAGGTGGCCCAGCATCTCAGCTGGTAAGTGAGGGAGAAAGCTTTCAGACCCAGAAAGCTCTGGCCACCACTGCAGCATTTGTCACGCTCCTCTTTAGCTTGAAGAGAGCTAGGGAAATGAAACTGGGGGAAGGCTATTTGGAAAAAAGTAACCGTTGGTTGTCAGTGTACTAGGAGAGGAGCAAAAGCTTATAAATGCTGCAAATCAAAAAAAAACCAAAACATCACGACCCAAAGAAAGAAAAATAATGTACCCAAGTGGGAAAAGCTTCCAAAATTACCATTTTAAAGCACAAACTCTAAGCAACTCTGATGTTTTGCAGGGAATTAATTGAAGGTATTGACAGGGGATCATTTTTGTTGTTGCCAGGGTTTTAAACTGGGGGATAAAATTTAAAAAGAACAAAGATGAAGGCTGTTATTTTAAGCTGAAACCAATATTTCATTGTGGGGAACTCACTGGATTTGGGAGTTTGGGTTGGTTACTGCACTCAGAGGAGTTTCTGGACACACTTCCAGCTGGTTCTCAGGAGGGTCAAAATGTACTTTCTTTGTAACCCTTGTGGACTTGCACTACAGCCACTCAGCAATTAGATTCTTAGGCCTGTCTTTAGCAGGAAGTGGTAAAGGA